TTGGATAACTGTCCATGCATGGAAGAGGAAAGATTGGGGTGGGGGGAACCCTAGCCTCTGAGATTGGGGGATAGGAAGTCTTGGGTGCTGCAGGCTGCACCATGCCTTCAGTACCTCCAATGGGGGCAGAGAGAGGATGACGAGATCATTAGCCCAGTCCAGGGGGCCAATTCCAGTCTCCTGGCATCTGCAAGGATGAGGGATAATTTGATCAGAGTCTCTGAGGGAGGAGAGGGGTTTGAATGACGCCGCTGCTGGTACACTGGAAGGAAGGGGCACCTGGAAGTCTGCATGTGGACCCATTTGGTGCTGGAGAGGCATCACTCAGTGCAGACATCCCCTGGGAACTCACTAATCGCAACAGTGAGGCTTTCCTGCTTCCCCCCACTTTCATCCTCTGGGGCCATCTGGTCTCCAGGCCTGAGCTTGAAGGGCACTGATGTAGTTTCAGCCCCACCTCCATCCCCCACCCATTAGAGGGGTGCTGAAGGCACCTGGGGTGGGGACAGGCCTGGGACTCAGCCTATACTGTTGGGCAACAGGAATCTGATATGTGCCCTTTGGGTGGGGTAGCTAGAAGCTGAGTCATGATGGTGACTCGGCATTCTGAGGCAAGGAAGAGGGAAGCAGAAAAGGTCAGTGTGAAGGCAAGTCTTTGGGGAACATTATTAAAACTCTGCCTATTTACATGTGTGCTTTGGGGCCTTGTAAGACAAGTCAGCTCATCACATACAGAATTAGCTTGAAGGAAATCTTCAAAGTCAGCAATTTCTCCAGCACCCCTTCATTCCCTCCTGAGTGCCAGATCCAGTGCCCTTTGGATCCAGTGCCCTTCTGAAGGCCCCAAGGCATTGGCCTTAAACTGCCCTGGAATCTCATTACAGACAGGGGGGTTACTGTCCCTGCCCCATGGCTCCCCTGGGTTCAGCCTCTATCTGCTTTCACAGAGATGTGGAAATAATCTGTTATTTGCACAACACTTGATCGTTTACAAAACATCTTTGTACAAACTCTGCTTTTTGCGCCTGACAATGGCCTTGAGGGGTGATGAGAATGCTCCTTACTTTTCAGACGAGCAAACCAATGGTCACCGGAGTTTAGGGGAGGGTTCCAGGCGCAAGTAAAGCCATCTGCCTGGTGCAGGAGCCCTGCTCTTTGTGCCCTGACACAGGAATGACACAGTCAGCTTGTCCTCCAGGACAGAAGGCCTGTGGGGATCCCCAGGCAATTCCTCCTTCCTGGGGAAGATGTGAAGCTGTGACTTTCTGGGTCCAAGGCCCTATGCATGTCAGCAATCCCCAAGGGGAATTTCTGTCAGTGTGGCTCTCAGGCAGGCTTGGAGGGGCCGGGGTTCTATGCACAGAGCCTGCACATACATAGCCCAGTCCCGGTGATGTGGTGCAGGCCTGTTCTCACTGTATTTCTCCACCCTGCTGGTGATGTGCGGCAGGCAGCAGTTGTGAGTAGCAGAAAGCCTTTGTTCCTGGTTTGTACTCTGAAGCTGGTTGCCCCGTGCAGTAGCTTCTGGATCGTGTGGCTATTAAGCAATGGAAACAGGCTGAGGTGTGCCGTAAATGTAAAGCACACTCTGGATTTAGTACCAAAATAAAAGTAAATTCTCTCATGAATCAGCGTATTCATTGCATCTTGGAATAATGATTTGGAAATATTGGGTTAAATAAAATGCATCATTGAAATTGATTTTACCTACTTTTAAAAATGTGGCTACTGAAAATGCAAATGCACGTGATTCACATTCTAGTTCCATTAGGCAGTGCAGCTCTCAAGGCCTTCCTGAGAAGTTCAAAGCAAGCTGCAGTCACTCTCCTATAAAGTGTTTATAGGAAGCAGGCTTTGCTCCCTGTCTTTATTAGTAAAGTCATAAAGCTAGAGGGAGGGGGGAAGTCTTCCAAACACAAAAAAAAATGCACATCTTCCTTGTAAATGATGTAACATTATCTTACAAAGAAAAACAAAAATCCGTTCAAATGAGCAGGGAACTCCAGACGAGGTGCCCTGGCCCATGCAAATATATGATGGCCAAGGTTTAACCCCTTGAGAGGTGCATGGCCAGTTGTGGGCATGCAATGCGGGCTGCAGGTGGCAGTATTTCCTGGGGTGGCCTGAAGGGTGAGAAGTGCCCATTGGGAGAGGGGCATTTGGACTTCATTTCTAAGGACTGGGAAGCCAGGTGTATAAAAGCTCAGAGCCTGGCTGGCACCTGTGTAGGTCGGTCTCTGATCTGCCGGCCTCACTGTCAAGGGCACAGTAGCTCCTGGGCTTGCTCTGCCTGGCCCACTAGCCTTCTGAGGAAGGCTGTCAGCTCCTGAGTGGGTGTGCCCCTTCTCATCTGGTTAAATTGAGCCTTTCCAAGCCTCCTCTTTGGGAAAGGTGACATCCTTCACATTTGCATATTCAGCAAATGGAATGTTTGCAGCAAGAGAGCTTCCTTACTGGTGCTGCAGGAGCGACCCTTGTGGGTGTGATGACCTTCATGGATAAATACATGTTCACAGGTCACAGCCAACGCCTCTCACAGATTCTGCAGAGCAGCATAGGTCCTTCGCTTTGTTGGTTTGTTTAAATAATCTGATGAAATATTCTGCGTAATCTTCTCCCCTTGACTGTGGGTAGGACCTATGTATATGATATCATTCCCCAGGGTAAATTATATTACATAGCAAAGATGCAGGGATTTTGCAGATGGTAATTAAAAGGTCCCCAATCACCTGACTAGAATTAATCACAAGGGAGATGATCCTGACCTAATCAGGTGACCCTTTTAAAGAACCTAGAGATCAGAGAGAGTTAAATCAGAAACTCTCCTACTGGCTTTAAAGAAGCAAACTATCTCACTGTGGAGAGGGGCCCCTGGCAGGAGACAGCAGGACACCTGTAGAAGCTGAGGGCATGCTGAGGACCTCAGTCCTACAACCCCAAGGAATAGAATTCTGCCCAAAAGCAGTGAGCTTGGAGGAAGACCTCCAGGTAAGACCCTGAGCAGAAGACCCAGTTATGCCATGCCCAGGCTCCTGACCCACCAGACACTGTGCAATGACAAATGAGTATTGTAAGCCTATAAGTTTGTGGTAATATGCTACACAGCAATAGAAAACAATGAATACGGGAGATACGGGGAAATATCTATGGCCAACAACTGCCAGGATTCTGTTTCAGCTGTCCATGAAGGCTCCAGCCAGACCACACACAAAAGTTACCACAAACATTTGTTTGTTTGTTTCCCACAAAGTTAGGTCCTAAAAAAGCTGTACTTCAAGGACCCCTGTTTAAACCCTCTGTAAGCTTCTGGGCTCCACATGCTGAGTGGAGGTGTGGATGGTGCGAGGAGAAGCATCAGCGCTGTCCGTCAGCTGAGCTCAGTGGTTGAGCTTCAGGCACCGCATCCTCCTCTTTCTCCCCTGCCTGGGAAATGGAAGGGATCATTCATTGTGCGGATAATGGAGTTAAATTGTGGCTGACATGGCGGACAACGCCTGAAACAGCAACAGCAACAGTAAACAAATTGCAAAAGAGCATATAACCGCCGAAACAGGTTTGGCTCAATGGATAGAGCGTCGGCTTGGGGACTGAAGAGTCCCGGGTTTGATTCCGGTCAAGGACATGTACCTTGGTTGCAGGCATATCCCCAGTGGGGGGTGTGCAAGAGGCAGCTGGTCGATGACTCTCTCTCATCAATGTTTCTAACTCTCTGTCTCTCTCACTTCCTTTTTGTACAAAATCAATAAAATATATTTTTTTTTAAAAAAAAGAGCAGACAACTTATGTATTTTACCAGCTCTTGTAAAATATTTTATTGTTATAAGCATGAAAGGAAAACAGAACTGTGTGCTGGCATACTAAGACAGGATTTTAAATCCTAAATTCCAATTTTAGAAATCTATAGCACCTCATTTCAAAGCTAACATCTTTGAAATGATGAGTTAATGTTTTCATTGACTTAAAAGAAAATACATAAGAGAGAATGTAAGCCCCTCCTCTATTTTGCACACTCAGGGAATCCGGTTCCTGTTGGCCTGAGTCATTGACTGTCCCTTCGGGATGCTGAAGCCGTGTGACATTACCATCACATGCCTCACATGAAATGCATTCCACCCACATGGCATTTCCACGACCACCCCGATTTCCTCTTCTCACATAGTTGTGACTTCCTGTTCTACTTCCCTCAGAGTAACTCCGCCCCTGCATCTGCACGTACTGGTTGCTATCATCTTTCTCTTCTCTTCACAGCCTTTTCTTTAACCTTCCAACACAAGCCCCTCTGAAGTTCTTTACACAAACCACAAAGGTTGTGATTTCCCACTGTGTTACTTCATTTCTGGCCAGAGCAACCAACTCCTAAACAATCCATGAATGCTTCATTCCTTTCATTGTCCACACAAACAATAAGAAACAGGGAAAAGGATGGTGAACATGTGACTCATTCAAGAGGTGATGTGATGGGGATGGGGGAGGTAAAGGAGGGTATGGGAAAATACATGGTGATGGACTGAGACTTGACTTGGAGTGGTGAACACACAATAAATACAGTGTACAGATGATGTGTTGTGGAATTGTGCACCTGAAACCTGCATAATTTTGTTAACCAGTGTCACCCCAATACATTTCATAGAAAAGATAAAAAGAGATATGATGTGTCACACTGGACTTACAATCTTCCCAAAGAATATTTCTATAGTTTATATTAATTGCTCACTTTCATACAGTTACAGATTCATGGGTGCGCTCCTTTATAGCTTTGAATTCTACTGGTCAGTTTAGGATACTCTTGGCCAAGAGCAGGGCTTGAACTATGTATCTTGCAGGTGGGAGAGAAAACCAAAATTTATTTCTCCAACTTTTTGTTTACATGGCTTTTCTGGAATTTGCATCCAGTGCTGTGGCTCATGAGGTGGGAGGCACATGCACGCCTTGGGAGTGTGTGTGTGTGTGTGTGTGTGTGTGTGTGTGTGTGTAGTAAGGGAACGTGCCTCAGTTAACGAATGTGGGCAGATGGCCAGATGAACATTCTATGGAACGCTGCCAAAGGTTCCTGCCATTACAGAGGTTCCTTTCACAACATCGAACTCAATGATTCCCAAAGGAGCCCTGCAGAAGTGGCTGGAACTCAGTGTTTCTGGCCCCATTGTGTTTTTGAACATGTGAACCACAGCCTCCTCACCAGCTCTCTGCTTTCCTTGGCTGGTCGTGTCAAGATGGCCTTGCTAATACAGTGCGTACCCCTGCCTCTGTTCTCCCTGATAAAACCCCAGGCACCCGATCAGCCAAAGCCAGTCTTTCCCTAATGTCTCATTCTACTTCAGCGGGTCCTCCAACTTGTCAGGGCAGAGCCCTGCCCACAGTTGATCGTGCTCTGGAGAATGGTGTAGCCTGATTGATGGTCATTTCCCTTAGGGGCTTTAAATAATGAATTATCCCATTGCAATAATGAGGTGACAACATTCAACAAACATAGGACTCGACTAGGCCATTTGTGAATATGTAGAAATAAAGAGTTCATTTACTTTGAACAATGTTAATATTTTTATCTATTCCACCTGCCCCCACTCCTCATGAAGAAAAGAAAGCCAGCGTAAACTTTAGAATTAAAAGGAAGATATTTTTAATGAGTTAAAATATTAAAAGAAAACTCTTTTGAACCTTGATAAACTAATGGTTGTTGTATCTCAGCCCCTTTTGTCCTATCTTCCTGGTGGGCAGGTCCTTGGTCTGAATGAGGAGCCCCTGGGCCCCATTTCCCAGGGAGTCCCACGTTTTATTGATTCATTATGACTTTGGTTGGAATACATGGTTGCTGTAGCTGCAGCACATGGTTGGCTTTAATATGGATGCAAATTTAATAAATATTTGTATTTGTAAGAAAGGTACACACACACACACACACACAAATCACAAATAAACAAATTCTTTGGAAAACTTCCACCATCTGTTCATCAAGAGGAAGTGTCAGTGAGAGTTTGGACTAGCCAGCTGTAGAACTTTCCGGAAGGTTTCCAAGTGGTTGGAATGAACACAAGTTACACTGTACAAAACTCTACACATATATTGGTCTGGAGACTTAAAGACTGAGAGCGTTAATACAAAAAGAGCTACATAATACACCAAAGCCCAATAGATCCACAGTAAAAATAACATAATAAACAGTGCTGTAGATTATTAAGATCTAGTCTGTAATGCACAGAGAAGTACCTGGAAGCTGTTATACATATAATATAGGACAGTTGGGATCTGTTTTCAGTGCAATATATCGCATTTGGCAATTAATGCATAAAAAATACGCTTTTTTATTTTTGCTTTCAAGATGTGGAACAAAACCAAAACATAAGACTTTTCTGATAAGCTATTAAAAAACTATAAACTATAAAAATGTAATCAGCAGTTGGACTTGCTTGGATCAGATAAAGGATGGTTATTACACTTTCTTTGCATATTCATTCCACTTAGCTCAAACCTTAAATGCAAAAAAAAAAAAAAAAAAATAGATGTGTAGGATCATATCTCCTTCCATACAATTTCTGGTTAATATTATTATCCACTTGAAAGCATCCTGATGATGTAATTTTCTCTCTATTTTTTGCTCCTAATTCTCTCCCCCCCACACACACTTTGCTAAGAAAATACCAGAGAGGAATTAAACTTTCCCCATGGCTTTCTTTCAGTTTGCATTTTTGAGCCACTTTTTAATTCTCAATGTTGCATTGTCTAATAATTGTTTTAGATCATGAACATGAAAATATTAAAATGTGGCTCTTAATGTTGTTTTTATCCTCCCTTTCTTCCTCCCTCTTTCCCTCCTTTCCTCCCTTTCTTCCTTCTTTCCTTCCTTCTTCCTTCCTTCCTTCCTTCCTTCCTTCCTTCCTTCCTTCCTTCCTTCCTTCCTTCCTTCCTTCCTTCTTTGAATTCACTGAAGCATTTCCTAGGTACTAGCATTTTTACTTATTATTTTAATGAAAGCTTATCTTTGTGACCAACATGTGAAAAGTGAGACTGTCTCTTTGAAATTCTATTTTACAAAATAGACAGATAGCTGGGCTTTGGGAAAATTGAGTTTCACTTAAATACTATACACATTTGGTATCACACAAAGGGTGGGTGGAGGTGGGGCAGCAAAAATAAATGGAACAATTACTTTTCGTCCGTCTTTACAAAAGAAAGGCTCTTCCCTACTGGAAAAGTCTCTTGGGCATCAGCTCCCAGAAGCCTGCGAGGGATGCATTATTCAGGGCTTGGAAAGGATCTCTTTGTCGGAGCGCAGCCACTGTTCCCCGAGAGTCACATGGGTTGGATTCTCCTGTTCTTAGTTGAGCAACGAATAAGCACTGGACGTGTTTTCCAAGGATGAGCTGGTTGTTTCTGGGGTGGAAACATTGTAGGTTCCTGAAACAAAGAACAGCAGCTTAGCCCAAAAGACCGGCCTGGGTGGTCACGTGGCGGGAGAAGAGGGCCTTTTCTAAAGGCCCGAGGGGGAGCTCCAGTCCAAGGGCCAGGTAAGCTCGCCGTGCCAGAATCAAACCCGTGCCGCCCTCCTCAGTGCCCGAGAACAGACAAAACTGTCATTCTCAAGCGTGCGTGGCAGCCGACAAGACAAGCACTAACTACTTCCCATCACACCAGCAGCCAGATTTCTACAGAGGACAGAGCCGTCTCCACATGGGCAGCCCTCCACATGCCACCACATGCATGGGACATCCCTGGCAGGAAACCTCCTGGTCCCCTTGGATTGGGGTGACTTGGGAAGCTCTTGGGAAGGGTCTGGAAGCTGAGTTGAAGGGGATGGGGGAAAGTGAGAGATGGGAAGGAAAGAGAAAACTGCAGGGGAAGAAGAAGCAAGACCAGGAAAGAGGAGACATCAGGGGATGCTACCGGAAGTGCATAGAGCGAGTGCAGCAGGGAGGGCACCCGGAGCCACCACACAGGCTGTGTCAGCAGGAAGCTGGGACTAAGCATGGGGAGAGAAGGGGACAAGTGTCGAGCAAGGGAAGGGACACAGTGGCCACCCTACCATCAGTTTGGTGAACTGCCACTGCTAACAAGGTTTCCATCACTGCTTGGGGGCCCCTGTGGGGCTGCTGGCAACATAAACCAAAGTCACAGTGATTATGAACCCCTCCACGAGGTCATCGGGAGCTGCATTTCTGTCCCGAGAGGCTACCAAGTGGCAATGACGGGGAATCCAAGGCCCCGGGACCTCGGGAACAGCTCCAAGTCCAAGTTTGGTCTGTGTGATTCAGAAACAACCGACAGCTTTTCGTGGCCTTTCTCCATGTGGGGTAGAACCATTTCATAGACTTTTCACTAGTTTCACTTTAAAGCAAAGGGCAAACACATTCCGGCAACAGTGATGGTCAAGTACAACAGTGCTAACACCCCTGAGGGCCTCGTCCCTTCTCAGCAAGTCCAGTTCATGAACCTTCAAAATCAAAAGGGAATGCCCTCCCGTTTCGTGTAACGCCTCAAACTGAAATCTGAAACACCACGTTTGTGAGACCTGGTTGGTTACAAGAAGCTGGAAGGAATTGTGCTGCTAATGTTCATGGAGACCGTCGTGGCAAGGCACAGAGTTTCAACTTGCCAAACAGCTGAGGATCATTGCCCAAAGCCGTGAATATTGTTTATTGTGAGCCTCCAAGGTGGACACTTACCTGTGCATGTTTCTGATAGCATAGCTGACTTGGGGATCCCTCTTACATGTATGCGTACTTTCATAAATGTCAATGTGTAAAACATGCATTTTCCAAAAGAAAAAAAAAAGGCAAAAAGGAACCCATTGCATGGGCTTCTATAATACGCTTTTCTGAATATATTCTCTGCTGGAACACAACCTAGAAATATGATCCACCTTGTTGCATTTCATAGGAATAAAAGAGTGGTCTGTGTTTGACAAGGTGGGCAGTTTACAGTCCCCATTGTTAGGGTTGATACCCTTTTGACAGACAGCTGTCTGCAGACTTTTCTACATTCTCCCAATCTTATTCCTCATAAGTTATTAGTTTTTCCACTGAAGGAAGTTACCCTCTGCACCAGCCTCCTGGTGGTTTGGGAAAATCTAAACAAGTTCCTGTGTTTAACCTCTACCCACAATGAGGCCATTGTATAGTAAATGCCATGAGTAGGGACTGGGAAAGCAGGGGTTTGAGTCTCCTCATTAGAGCAATTTGTTTGGATCAACCCAGGGAGCATCTAGGGGTCACTACATACCTGTTTTACCAAACAAATTGTTAAATCTTCTTGATATTGGAGAACTCATAGAAAACACAGGTGTTGACGAACCTAGGGATGTTGACTAGAAATGAGGAAAGAAAAAAAAAAAAAGACAATTACATGCAAATGTGTTAGACCAAGGCCCTCCTGTATCTCTAGTAGGATTCACTTGCTGCCCTCTAGTGGTCACTGTCTGAATATCTCTCATCCCACTTCAAGGTGAGAGCAGGGATAAGCGGATAAGCATGCATTTCTCCTTAAAACCAGTCAAGCAGGAGCACCATGAGACACTGGAATATCATCACCGGTATTAGGAAAATAACTTTCAAAAAATTTTATTGTTATAGAGTTTTGTATCTTCTGACAGGTGGAAACAGAAATATATTTAAGTGCAATTGTTATTTTCCAAAACGAATTACAGAAAATTCTATTTATTATTATTTCTCAAATTGTGTTTTCTACTGTCCTCTCATCAGACACTCCCTGCTTATTTCTCATTGAAAATAAAAATTTGATTTTAACTTCCAGTTGACATTATCTGTGCTATTTGTCCCCATTTAAAGATGTGAGGACAGTTTCTTAATAATGGTTCCATAGTGTGTGTAATAGGTTGAATCAGGAGAGAACCAAAAACATTGGGATCATCTATGCTAAAACGAGTTGTGGAGAGGGTTTTTCAAAAGTCTCTACAAAGGAAAGAGTTACCTTTGAGTGCTGTGAAGACCATCTTGACAGAGAAAACTTTTTCAGCAAAGCCTCCTGTACCTGCATTTTTCACAACAACAACAAAAAGCCACCATAAATTCTACTTGCCATGAGCACTTTGGACTTTTCCAGGAGCATGAAATTGTCATGTTCTTACCTTCTGATCCCAGAGGCACCCAAAGAGCAAAATGAATAATCCCTGGGGGGGAAAATTGGGAAGAAGTGCATTTCAATTATATTTTATTGTCCCGCAAAATAGAAAGTATTGCTAACCTGAAATTGAATTTGTACCACCTCTTCCCACACCTGGGTTTATGGAGTGAGCCCAGTAGATAACATTAAGAGAGATGCAGTAGGTCCACACCAGGGACTTTAAATGCTTTTATGTTATCAGGGTATTTTCTTTACTTCCCCTCCACTGTGAAGTGGAGGTCCTGCTGGTTACGCTATTAGACATATCTCTTATGCTACAGTAGCCCTCACATAGTTATGACGAGGACCTGGGCCATGGAGTGAAATAATCAGTTCCTTCTAGTCAAGGCATATTACAAATGTCAGCAGACGAGCTTTATAATTTGAAGCCTTGGGCCCAGTAGCAGAAATTAGAATTTGCATAGTCTTGGTATAAGCATCCGGGGGTGTTGTCTCAACTTCCCCTCCAGACCTCCGACCTCCTCACCAGCTCATGGGGGCCTGTGTTTCCTACCCACCCAGATGTGAGACCAGAATTAAGTTATTTCCTTCCTTGTGCTTCAAAGGCTTGTTATCTGTACCTTGGCTGAAGCTTTGCTAACCCATCAGCTTGTGTTATAATGAGTTATGCACTGCAGGAGAGGAAGAGGGCATCTTTTTCCATTTTAGTATAATAGAATAGAATGTCCACCTTACACAAGACATTCATTCTTTCATTCTTCAGCAAGTGCTTCCGGAGAACATTCTATGTGGTATATAGCATTCATTTCATTTGTCAACTGGTTAATTTGAGCACATACTTTGGGCCAAGGTCATTTTTAGGCACCAGGGATATAATGATAGATAAGTCAGATGCTGTCCCTGATCTCTCAAAGAGCAATTTCATTTAATGTTTATGGCAATTAACTTGGTTTAATAAAGGATTTTTTCTTTTAAAAGATAATAGATAGCATCAAGATAATGTTGAGTAAATAGCAAAATCCAGTGTAGGAAAGGGACTCTCCTCCTACTTATACTACCAGGACATTTCGAAGAGAGTCACATGTGCAACTCAATTATAATTCAGGTGATAAGAGGTATGAGGTTCCATGGGAACAGAGGAACGTGTCCTTTCTACCTTATTGAGTTCTTGTGATTGCTGCTCTTTAGGGCTAGGTCCTCCTCTGATCTAAAATCCTTCCCCATTCCCACTTCTGTTTGTGTTTCTGTCATTAACTTGTCCCACCTGCCTAGATACTTCCTGCGAGACTGGCACTTCAGAACTTACCTGGAAGGCATTGAGGAGGGTAAACACAATATGGAACACAGCATTGCTTCCCTCGAACACAGTGGCGAGGCCAAAACCCCAGGTGAGCCCCAAGAGTGGAGTGAGGACCCCAATGCTCTTGGTGATCTGAAATAGACTGTTCTTCTCCTGCTTGTTGGGCTTGTCTCCAATGGAAGGTCTCAGGATCTTGGTGATGACCACAACGGTGATGGTCATGTTCACCACCACGATGATCAGGGCTGGGATGACAAAGGCCAACAGAGCCTTGGTGTCCTCCCAGTTGAGCCAACATGCATTCTTCCTTGTGTAGACTTCCCTAGGCTGAGTGGCACCCACTGTGATGACTGAGATGATAAGAGGGCATCCATAGCCGAGAGAAAATGCAATAGTCTTCTGAATGGATTTGCTTGAATCATGCAGGATGAAAACCAGGCGGTAGAAGAGCATGAGGCCCAGAGTCAGCATCCAGAAAAAGACGCTGAGGTAGAAGAAGTGGATGAAGAAGGTGGCAGCCACACAGGCTGTCTCATTGAGTACGTAGTGATGGTCCCGGATGGTAGAGGCCACAATGAACCAGATGTCAGCAACCAGAAGGGAGGCTGCAATGTTCACTATGCAGATGTGACGCATATAGGAAGTCCGATTCTTGGTCACAGACTTCCATACCACAGCTTCCACAACTAGACAGGCTGCTAAGCTCAGGATGGAAAAGCACAAGCCAATGTAGGAAATGATATCCAGCAGTACTTTCAGGAGAGAATCAGGGTCTGGGGAGTCAGGGGACATGAGGATGGAGAATGACGTCAGATGGTCACAGGTGCAGTTGACGCTGTCCCCATCTACTTCCATATAGCACCCACTGCTATCCCACCCTCCTGTATAGTTGGCGAGGCTGAAGTTCCAGAAGACACATTGTGGTTTCCCACCTAAGAAGTTGTTGTTCTTAAAAGTCATTGAAATCCTGAATGGAGCGGTTATTTTGTGGCTGACAGTGGTTGTCATCACTAAGCTGTTTGCAGAATGCTTGCCCTGAGTATCCTGGGTGAGGATGGTTTTGAGAGTTGGGAAAGCCACGGTGACAATAGATGTGTCTGGCTGCAGATTCTCTACGTGGTGCTCATTAATAGCCACATTGCCCCAGAGGCCAGAGTCTGAGAAAACGAACTTCTGTTCGTAACGTTGTGGAGAGCCAGATTTTATTACCATGCCCCTCATCTGCACGTTAGTGTGGGAGATGGAAAAGACGGTGCTATCTTTTGACCGTAATGCTCGGGAAAATCTCTCCACAGAATCTAGTAGCTGTGAGCTGTGGTTGGTCTGTTGCTGTTGTAACACCTTCCACGTACTCAGGATGGGCTTGTCAAGGATGACATTGAGTGTAGAGAGAACATCCTGTAATTGACATGACACGGGATCAAATCAAACAAATCATTTCAATTATACAAGATCAAAAAGTATCTTTGGAAACTGATGGAGTGGGTATGAGTAAGAGGAATCAAGAAGAGAAAAAGGAAGCATCACAGGCTGTGGGGACCTGGGACCCCCCTTCCTATGGCAGGGAGTTAGCAGAGGATGGGTTGGTCTCCAAGACTGAGATGTAAGCATTCAGCAATAGTGACAGTGAGAACCACCCTCAACTACCCACTAAGGCCAATTTATTAGGCTAGCAGAGATCTTCATTAATTAATTTATTTTATCTTTAACCTCAAGCTTCTAAAGTCTTTTTGATGGCTGGTATTTCACCCACAAGGTAGTCACAAAAGACCTTCTCAAATGCTGAGCATCAAATGAGCAATGCTGTTGTTGTCAAAAGCATCTTTCTGTTTTTTGCTACACATTTTGATTCTCCCGTAAACTTGGGCTTGTCATTTTCCGTGTATGCCTTCTCTCAATGTAATTTCTCTACACTCTTTTGCTTTTTGTTCTCTGAAACTATGAGCTCCCTATAGTTAGTTGGCTAGTGGCCCCAAAAGTGACATGTTCTATACTCAGACCCTGTGTATAGGATGTGACCTTAGTTAGAGAAAGGGTCTTCATAGATATAATTCAGATAAGAATCTTGATAGGAAATCATCCTGGAGCCCTAAATCCAATGACAATTATCCATATAAGAGATAGAAAAGGAGAAGATAAATGAAGCAGAGAAGGTTTTGTGAAGAGCAAGTCAGAGATTAGGAGGAGGCAGCCACAAGCCAAAGATAGCCTAGTGCTACTAAATCTGGAAGAGGCATGGGAAGACTCTTTTTCCTCCCCTAGAGCCTTTGGAGAGAACATGGCCTGCAGAAACCATGAGTTTGGACTTCTACCCTTAAAAACCCTGGAAGAGCCGAAACCGGTTTGGCTCAGTGATAGAGCGTCAGTCTTCAGACTGAAAGGTCCCAGGTTCGATTCCGGTCAGAGGCATGTATGTTGGTTGCAGGCACATCCCCAGTAGGGGGTGTGCAAGAGGCAGTTGGTCGATGTTCCTCTCTCATCGATGTTTCTAGCTCTCTTTCTCTCTCCCTTCCTCTCTGTAAAAAATCAATAAAATATATTAAAAAAAAAAAAAAAAAAAAAAAAAAACCCTGGAAGAAAAAATTTCTGTCATTGTAAGCCATCCAAGTTTGTGGCAATTTGGAATAGCAGCCCTAGGAAATCTGTATAATCTCCTTAAACTCTTATTATCCAAACTGCTTGCCAGTTGGTCAGTGGGAAGCACTGGCAGCGGACAGGATGGTGGGAGAAGGAAAAAGTTAAAATAGATTTTTCTACTACCCACTGTACCCCACTCCCCCATCCACACCATCTAAGCACATCTTTGGCAATAGCTATGTCCCTCTGAGACTATAGCTTTTGCTGAATGAGCCCTCCTCCAGGGATTCAGCTTTCAGTCAGCTGTGGGTACACTGTTTCCTCTTTCTCCTTCAGTCCCAGGGGTAGTAAAGGCTCCTAAATGTTGCTGGTCCCTGAATATCTCAACACCCCCCCCTTTTTTTAAATCCTGGCTTTATGTCTTGAAACAATCTTTCATTCAAGTCTCTTCATCACCATTTTTGCAGGTGAATTCTCTTTCCTCCCAGAACCCTGACTGCTTCAAAGTTTAGTGCTAGACCTTTGAGCATCCTATGCTGAAAGCCTTTAATTCCTACTTTTCCTAGAAAGAAGATAATAATTCATTCTATTTTAATGAAGATATTAAAGAGATTAACTAAAGAAATCTTTCTAATGTACCAAAATGAATATAGGAAATACCCCTGCTACCCTAAAAGCCATAGGTAGCAGAGCATGTTATGTGACTCTCATAACTAGGACACCGCTCTGGAAATGTCAGAGAAGAAGCTATAATGGAGAGGTGTTATCTTTCTTGACCACAGTCCTGAGGGGTGAAAAGATAAGACCCCCAAACTCCTGCAAGGTTTAAACAAACTCACCATCATCATTTCTGAATTCACTTGGATTGGAACTGTTGAGAGCAAATCAAGGATCTTAACAACTGCTCCCAGGTTCCCTGGAAATGAGCTGACTTCATGTGCCACCTTGTCTGTGCTGACATAAAGGTCCTTCAGGTATGTAGGCAGCTTCTTGTCCTGAGAGGGGCTCTTGCTCAAAGCCTGGCAACACAAAAGCCAACACAAACCAACAAAACACTTGTCAATCAGTTTGGTCATCAAATTGTGCTGATCCGTCCATGACAAAATCTTTCCTATTCATAATTTTCTTTTTTATCCATTCCCATGAGTATATCTTATAAAATAACGTACTTTCTCTTAAATTGTGTGTGCCCTTCAGAATGGGATATTACATAAGACCTCACACATAGGAGAACAGAAAAACATATGTCAACCTGATGACTGATTGGGGGGGAAGGGGAGAAGAAAAACAGGTATGATTGTTAGAGAACTAGATTAAAGTTGAATAAAACTGATACTTAGATGGCCCGAATGGAAGCACATTGGCTGTGCTCTCCTTTTTATAATCATTTCCTCTGTTGGGTGACTGTCATAATTTTCCTGCAATAGTTCTGGCATATATCTTCTGTAACCATTAATTATTAACAGACCCTCTTTTATTTTCTAAAAGTGTCCAGGTCTCTATGATAAACAATATTGTCACCTTATCTGCAATCATCACACTTGTGTTTTCTCTCTAACTCATACTTAAAATTAAAGATTAACTCAGGCTAGATCTTCTCTATGAAGAACTTGGATGAGTGTTACATGGAAATTTATTCCTTTGAATTCATTAGTATTCATCTTAGTATACTTTACATTTGTGATATCTTTATGAATATCATCTTGTATTCTAATTTCAATGTCTCCAATTGAATTATAAGCTCGGGAACAATGTGAAAAATAAGTTATATTTCTTTTTGTTCTTCTCATATCCCATAATATCTAACATAGTACAGTCATCTAACTTGGCACACAGTAGGTTTTCAACGGTATATGTTGAATGGATAAATCAATGGAACATGATAGGTCAGCATGCCTCTTTTCCATTGACAATGTATCCAGGTATCTAGAATTGGTAGATTGGGCCATGTCGAGTATAATTTGAACTCGACATGGCCCAATGTTGAGTTCAAATTATACTTTCTATCTTTCTCAATTAGGATACTTTATATCTCCAATGCTTTGTCCATCACAAAACATTTGGGCCAAGTCAGATGCCAAGTTTTTCAAGCAGCACTTCCTGATTCTCCTAACCAAAATTAATATATATTTATTGTCATATTATCTATCAAGTCACATTTGGCCTCTTCACCCTTATAGCATCTATAAGAATGTTTTATACATAGTAGGCATTTTTAATGAATTTGGTATAAGACAAGAGGAGAAACAGATAAAATTATATAAAATATAAGTCAATATCACCTCTTTTTCTTAATTCTCCCTCTAAGGGTGAGAGGAATTTGGAACCAATTGTCTGAAGATGTCATCATCTGCTATAACCCCACTAGTTGCCTCATCAGTATTTATTTATTGTAATTCATGGAATTTTGGCAGTCTCTAACTCTCAATGACTTAAGTATGATGTGGTGTTTAAATATTGTGATGGAAAGAAAGGAATTTTCCCTTACCATGTGACAGTAACCACTATTCTAGGTGAGAGAGACAGGCTAGTCCCTTCTTCTGTAACTACTGGTTTACCTCTAAGGATTGAGAAAATCTCAGACCTTTTAAAGCATAAAGCCCAACTTTTTTTTCCCAATGGTCAATTTTACTTGTTTATGTTGCTCCTCTTTCTTAAAATATCAGGACTATTTGCTTACTATAAAAATTATTTAAAGGAAGGCAGGTATTGAGGATAATATTACCTATCCCTTGCAGGCAATGAATAAAAGGTACCAAGAAGTCAAGGTAAAGCTATATAGCTGATTTTAAGGCAAAATACATATTTTGTTATCTTAAACAATTTGTAAGCACTTCTGGATTTGTCCTTTTTTTTTTTTTTTTTTTTTTAAAGAAACAAAGTAGTTTTGAGAGCAACACAAACCAGCCCTTTTTCCTTAGTGCTGAGACATAAGCTAGACAGATGACCCCACTAAGAGCTCAGAATTAAAGGTTTGAGGATCACCTTGGCCAACTGGAGCAGACTGTTTATTGGGGCAGAGATGCAGTCACTTTTCTTCACCTCCCAACGGGAGCCCACGCATTTGTAGATCTTGATCCCTCCAACAGGACTAGCAGAGCTACTGGACAGGTTCGAGAACCGGCAGAGCTTCGGGATCACTTTCCCAGGCTCCCCCACACCTATTATGGGATCTCGACATGTGATGCTCTCTCCTGCATTGGAAACGTGGAGACAAAATGGACAACTGAAAGGAGGAGAAAAGAAAGTGGAAATGGGGTCTGGCCCAGGTAGAATTTTGATGTTTGAATTCATTTTTCCCTTTACTTTCAGTGATTTTTTTGGAGGTAGCCAATGTCTTTATTTTGTCCCTGGCTTTCCAAAGCCTCTTAGTGCTTTCTGTACACATATGAGTTTAATCTTCCCTTGCTTTTCCTAACAGAATTTATTTCCCACCTCCAGCCCCCGGGAAACATCTCTCTGCTACCTGGACTACCTAAGCCATGGGAAATAATGACAGCTTCATAGGGGCTCATCCTAATAAGAGATATTCAAATTTCTAGGCGCCTTAAGAATATAATGCCTTCACCCAAGGGATTCTCAATTCTGGCTTCTTAAAATCACCTGGAGAGCTCAGAAAAACCAATGTCCAGGCTCACTACAGCCCAAGTAAATGAGAACCTCTCCCGCTGGAACTCAGGCACGTATCTGTCCTCTGCAATGTGTAGCCTCCCAGACTCAGCTGAAATATGATTTCATCTGCAAGATTTTCTTAATCACATCCTTCCCACCTATCTCACCAGGCAGCCTTTTCTGGCCACCACACAGTCTAGTTTAGAACTTACATTCTTGACCACATCTCTCTCTCGCCAAGCATGGAGCTAGAAAACATGGTTTATTTCTTTTTAAATCCCCCATGCTTAGCTTAAGGCTTGCCATAGGAAGATGCTCAACATATATTAGTGAATGGATAAATGAGGGAATGAATAAATCGGTAAATTCCTGCCCATGAGTATAACACTTTAAAATAATTGAAAATGCTCTCACCAGGCACCAGATTCAGCTTCATAGACCGACTCCGGACTGAATTATTAGCGGCATTGGTGAAGTGACAGAACACGTCAACATGTTTTGGGCACCAGGAAACTATTGATTTTGCCATGAAATTGAATTTGTAACACACTTGCTTTCCATGAACTTCTTTTGCTAAGGCAGAATGATTGAAAGAATTAAGTCACAACATGAATCTCCAAAGCACACATTTTGTTAAAATGACTTGTGCAACATTTCCCCAGGAATGTGCCATACTGGTTTTTAATGTGTTTTTTTAAATGCCGCCAGCCTACAAGTAAGCAAGCCCACATTTGCATGCATGCCAGCCAAACCTCACCATTCTGTGCCCATACAGTTTGGGAAAAGTAGAATGCCTTTCAGAATGCCTTATATAAATCCCAGCAGATCCTGAGCCTTTATTCTGTCTTGCCTTCACCATGTTGGTTGAGAGCTGCCTTTTCATGGATCTGTCTCCTCCATTAGACCATGAGGTCTTGAAGAGAAGGTAGCTGGTTTTATTTTTCTTTCCATATCCCTCCCAGGGTCTAGTGCAGTGTTTGGCACATTGAGAGAGCACTGGATATATGCATGTGAAACACAGAATGTTTAAATGTCCAGATTGATTCCAGATGGATACCATGCAACCTTCTCTAAACTTTCCAGATTCTCTTGGTCCCTGCTTTTCTGAACTTCCAGTGTTCTTTTGATCTATATTGTTCATTTGGATATTTAATGTTATATGCATTACCTTTTATGACTTGAGCTCGTCTACATATTAATGCATGTGCTCTAACTATGTTTTCTCCTTTTCATGGCCTACTTAATTGTTTTGCATTGAGCAAGTCTTCAAGAATAATTCTTGAAAGAGTAAATCTAAATTGCTCATGATGGTGTCTGTGTTTTGACATTTGGGGGTGTGAGTTCATATTTGGTTGACCTTCATTTGTAGGAATCCTGAGGGATCTTGAGTGATGGTACATTCTACTAGAGAGGATTTGAATTTTTTTTTTTTTTTTTTACCAAGTGCCATAGGGTGCTACCAAAAGACCATTTCACCTCTTCTGTCTGGAGTTCCTGGACCACATAGATAGTATAAATTCAAACAAAAACTGAATGAGGGCAAGGCAGTTATAATTCTCAGAGAAAGTTTTTGCTCACCTAGAGACGAGGCTAAGTTCTTGACTCTGGCAGGTGAATTTTGCTTTTCTAGTCTATTTTTTTAATGCACACATCACCTTTGGAGGGCCTGGCATTGTGCTGGTGGGCTAAGGGCGCCTTAGCTACTGCATAGGGAGGAAGACCTTTCCTTCCATGGCCTTCGGAGCCTTCAAAGTCACGTTTCTGGGTTTCTTATATTGGCAGAGGCTCTCAAGGATGCCCACTTTAGCTAAAACATTACCTTTAGTTTTTCTCTGTTTGGCACTTGGTTATCTCTTCCTTTCTTGCGTGCTCAGCTGTGCATTTAAGGGGATTTGTGGTACTTTTATGGTATGTTGATTCATAGCTTGGAGGAAGGGCCTATCAGAATGTCTGGTCAGCTATGTTGAGGAGGTGGAAGACTTGTGAAGGTCCCTTAATACTGTCTTCAATGGCTCCCTCCAAAAACAGACTCTCCACCCTCGAGATTTTGCCGCAAGCCAAGAATAATAAATCAAAATAGAAGGTAATAATGGCTTTTGGAATTCACTCTGTTATGTTCGGTCTCTGAAGCAATCCCCATGTCTACTTTAAGCATAAACTATTGGACTCCCCATGTAGGAAATACTATGTCCTAACAACCCAGCAGCTGGCATCTTACTAGCAGGAAAGGACAGGGCGTCCACTTGAAAAGTGACTTTGTAGTCTTCATCCTCCTCCACGCAACACATGAAGGGATGGGAACCTGTGCATGGGATTGAAGCTTCCAAAGGATCAACCATGATGTCCAGCTCTTGAGGTAGTGGGTGGACAGTGACATCTTTGGTGGCGACACTGAATGAATTCATATATCTGAATACGCACTGATAGGTTCCTGGGTGAAAGGAATCAAGAATGAGATGGAATTAAGTCATCAGTCCCAAGGGGTGTTCGCTGAGAAGATTAAGAAGAGGATTAATTGTCCTGTCAGGCCTTCCTGGACAGTGGGTAAGGAAATGCTTGATAGACTTTCCTCCTGAGTGCTCTATGTATTTGAAAGACTAACGGAGCGCCACCTAAATATTTGCTTACTTTCAAATAAAATTAAGTGGCTTATCCAAAGCCATACACTCTGTTTGGGGGAATCGGGTTTCAAAACAGGTTCCCAATACCTACTCCAAGGCTCTTTCATTAACCAGAGAATGAATGGGAAATTTGGTGTGTGCTGGGGTGGGAAGTTCTTTGAAGAGAGTTGTTACCCAGATGGAACACTGTGATACTGTGATGCCCCTTCATTCCATCTCTAAGTAGGCTCCTCAATTTCCAGGACCCCATGACGAGAGAGAAGAGAGAGAGAGAGAGAGAGAGAGAGAGAGAGAGAGAGAGAGAGAGAGACAGAGAGAGACAGAGAGAGATTTCTTTCTTTTTTTAAATATATTTTATTGATTTTTCCTCAGAGAGGAAGAGAGAGGGATAGAGAGTTAGAAACATTGATGAGAGAGAATCATTGATCAGCTGCCTCTTGCACACCCCCTACTGAGGATGTGCCCGCAACCAAGGTACATGCCCTTGACCGGAATCGAACCTGGGACCTTTCAGTCCGCAGGCCGATGCTCTATCCACTGAGCCAAACCGGTGCTGGCGAGAGAGAGATTTCTTGGGAAAGCTCAGCCTCTGTACTCTGGAATTAAATCTCTGATGTCTCATTCTTACCTAAAAAAGTCTAAAAGTAAGATGCTGGCTGACCTTGCTGGAGTAAAAGGGGAGGCATCAGCAGGAGCAGCCTGCATGCCCAGTTTTTGGTGGCAGAGTGGACTGTGGATAGTACTTGGATTGAGTTTCTGGAAAGGACCCTTTCCCACTGAGTATTAAGGCTCATCAGAGGACGAGCCACCATTTGAGCACTTATCATGGGGACAGTACAGGAAGATAAAAAGAGTACCTACAATTTAGTAAGACCCTTCATTTTGTTTTTACTTTTTATTTTACATTTCTTCTCTTTTACCCATCTTTAGAGAAGCCAGAAAAGCAACTAGCTGGAGGGAAATCAGGCAGAACAAAAATCAAGAAGAAATTCCTTTCAATTCTGTTGGGAGGGAAGGAAAATTTAAATTCCATTAAGATAAAAGTGTAGTTGAGATAGGTGAGACTCGGGGGTTTTTTTAGCACTTGAATATGAGAATGTTTAATAATTGACTGTAACTGGGAAAGCTATGGCTCCTCCTAAGCTATTCCCCTGTAGAAGGAAAGAACAATTTGGACAGAACTAGGTGTGAGTTCACCATAGGAGAGAAATACTCTCATTTCCTGATGTTTTACTACAACCAAGCAATAACTATTTCTACAATGTTTCCTGGTCTTCATAGAAAAAAATGAAGACTGGGGACCCCCAGAGTCCAGGCTGATTAACCTTATAATTAGTGAAAGACGTCAGACTAAAGTGGTTCAGAATGAGCCACTAGCCAGAGTTTCACCCTGGCACTGCTATTTATGAGATGCATAATCTTAGAAAACTTAGTTAACCTCACTGAGCCTCAGCTTTTCCATCTGCAAAATGGGGATAATAATAGCATTATCTCTCAGTTTATTGTTTTAAGTGAATTAATACACTTTAACACTTAGAACAGTGTCTATCACATAGTAAGGGCTCAATAAATGTCAGCTTTTATTACAGTAGTTTAATCAAATTCTCTCTTTCCCCCAAAGATTTGCATATCTTCCCAGCATCAATATTGTACAGAGAAGTAGAGGAAATAAAAATGTTCCTTCCTTTGGATCCAGACCTATAAATCCTTTTCCTAGATTTTGAAGCCACAATTGGGTGAAACACTACCAAGAGTTTGATAAAAGTACCTTTAATAAAAATCCTCTTAACTTCATGGAAAGAGCACAGGCTCTAAAATGAGAGACAAGTCCCAGTCCTAGCTTGACAACATAAGGTATAGGGGCTTAGGCATAATTATGATCTTTTCTGAGCCTCAGTCTCTATATCTGTAAAATGGGTATAATGACATCTTCCCCAGAAGGGCTGTTGCATGAAATGGGAACGGGAACTACTGTGGCTTGTTTTCCAGGGCAGCAGAATAGTACTGGCTTTTCACTCACCGTTCCACTCCCTCGTGGAGCTCCTCACAGTCAGCACTGACTCCGCTCTATCAGGATACCTCCTTGCGGTGTAAAACCTTTGGTATATTTTAATTCCAGCAGAAGTTTTCCAATACACCTCATCATAGTTACTCACATCACTGATGCACTTTATAGAAAAGTTTTGTCCCTCAGAAACAGAAATTGGGTCCGGGGTTATTGTTAAGTTGGCTGAAAGAATGCAAACAAAACAGACAAGAGAAAACCAACAACAAGCACAATGTTTAGTCTTTCTGGTGACATCAACACACGAGTGAAATTTAAGATAGAGACAGGAAGCGTGGACCATCCTGGCTACTGTGTCAATGCGGGATTGGTACCTTGCTGCTCCTGGGCTTTATGTGTTTCTAGGCTGATCCCGGTGGTGCTCTGAACTGTACTCATTTCCATCACATGCCTTAGGTGCTCGCGCACTTCCCCTTTGTGGCTGGATTTATGTCCTGATGATCAGCAGGGCAAAAGGTTGCAAACTTAGCACTTAGCGATGTTAACTTAACCCAAGCTCCCCTCCAACCTCTTCCATGACACCTCAAGGGACACCAGGTGTCTGAGTTACACCATATTGTATTTTAATTTCTTTCTTTCTTTATTTGTCCTCCATAAAAAACGCGAGCCCCGCAAGAACAGGACTCTCTTCTGTGTCTTTGCATCCCCAGCACTTTACCCCTAGACCTACCACTGAGTCTACATACTAAACAGAAGCGATTTCTGAAGCTACATGTTAAGTAGCGTAAGGGAATCCCTGGACTGTCTCTGACTAATGGGGCCATACAGGCAGTCTAACCATAAATCTCTACATTTACTCCTCTTTCTGAGAATGTCCTCATAGGTTCATGAGAAGTTATTCACCGAGGATGTTAACAAGACCTTTACAAATATAAAAACTTCCCACTAGTTTTGCCTCTGGCTCTTGGAGCAATTCTTTTACACAGTTGACATTTCAAAATGCCATTCATGTCTGTCTTCTTTAGATGAACAGTTCGTGCCTGGAGCTCACGGAGGCTGCCTACTCTTCCAACTGGTGTATAATCTTATCCTCAGTCACATCACAAAAACCAGGGGTCTCCAGAGGCCCCTTTAAAAGCTGGGATTCAAGCGTCCCTGGCGGTGCCTCCCTGGCTGCAGTGACCTCAGGATAGCTTTCTGAGGGGGAGTGGCTTCTGCGAGACAGAAAAGGCCCCTGGACCTGTGAATCCCATTCTCTTGATCCTCAGATGAGGTCCAAATACCAGGCCCGTGGTTTTCAGCGGAGGCTAACCATGTCCCTGAGACAACCAAAGCTCACCTAAGGACACAGGCCCAGCATGAAGACGTGCCATGTACCAGTGAGCTCACGACAGACAACTAACTGCACTTTGCTCAAAAGACCCATACAGCCATGTCAATCATGTTTTCAGATAAACCTAACCTCTCTCTTTGTAAAAACGCTAGGTCATAATAAAAGGAAATGTGAACAAGAGTAACAACTCCATTGATATATAAGTCCTTTCTCCAACTTGTTCATGACTTAGCTCCATAGTTCGTTTTCCTAAGATGAGTGGAAAAACAAGTTGGACTGCCCTCTTACTGCTGATGGGGCTGAAGTTATGATATGAGGAGAAGAAATTATATTTTGAAGGGGCCTAAATAAGTTGGATTAATTGAGATTTTGAAAAGAAATTGTTACAACTATAAAATACCCTCAAAGTATCAGGTTGTTAAGCTTTCTGTAGCATGCGTCCTAGATTAGGTGTCAAGGGAGGGAAAGGCAGTGGGGAATGAGCCAGGCTAAGGGAAGGAGAATTCAAGAGAGGGAGGATGAAACTATGGAAGGGAAAGGCAGGAACTAGTGGCATTAGACTCATTGTAAACTCAAGATTAAATGGGACTAATCTAAGTGTGAAACTAGTTCCTGGTCCACTTTCTGCATTGGCACAGGGCATGCTGTTCCCTCTCTGAAGCCAGCAGCACCCCCTACCCTTCCCTATGCTAAAGATTTTGTGTGAGTTGAAATGACACAGAGGGAAATCCTCTCCTGTTCGCCATTCTGCCCCAACCGCACTCCCACCACCAGGGAGGGAAGGCCCTGCTTTATGGCTCATGGATATTCTCAGTTGATTGGCAGCCTTGGGTTTGAGGTGAAATGCTAGTAAGAGTCCTTACCTACAGATGTGAACGTCACTTCTATGCTCTTACTGCCTCGGGCTCCGTGGAAGCTGGTGAACTCACACGTGTAGATGACCTTCCTCCCGGCAGACCCGCTGGGACACTGACTCCCATCGGCCCTGAGGGTGTACCTGCTGCAGCTGGAACCTGAGTCTGCTTCAGAGTTCCCTGCAATGACACAAGCAGTTCTTTTGTTGTCACAGTTGGCTGACTCTCTGAGTCAGTGAAAAAGAGTTAGTCATTAAGTTAGGTTTTTTTCTCTTTGAATTGAAAGGTGACAGGGATGTGTAGTGGTTAGACCTGTAGACTTGGGAACCAGGTTGCCTGGCTACAGATCCCAACCTCAAGCAATTACTGGCAGGGCATTGTTGAGAAAGTCAAGACACTGCTCTGTGCTTCAGGTTCTCCAAATGTAAACTAAGGAGAAATAATAATAACCACAGATCAGGATTGCAGTTAGGTACAATGAAGTTAATATAAAAAACACTTGATCTCACTCATTTGTGGAATATAATGAACAACATAAACTGATGAACAAAAAGAACCAGAGACATAGAAGCATCAAACAGACTGTCCAACCTATGAGAGAAGACTGGGGGGTGAGGATGTAAGAGATCAACCAAAGGACTTGTATGTATGCAGATGAGCATAACCAATGGACACAGACAGTAGGGGGGTGAGGGCATGTGCTGGGGGGTGGAAGCAGGCCGAGGAGAGGTCAAGGGGGGAAGAAGGAGACTCATTAATGCTTTAAACAATAAAGTATTTAAATAAAAACACACACACACATTTAGACTGGTGCCTGACTGGGGCCTGCCCCATTAGTGACAGTCGTTAGAATGTGGAAAATAAAGAAAGAGAATTAAGGTTTTTGAACATGATTTCCACTGGAAAGAAAAAATCAGGTTATTTAGACTAATATTATTATTATTATTATTATTATTATTATTATTATTGAACGGAGAAAGAAACAAGACTGGAACAGTTGATGTTCATCTCGTTTGAGAAACATTTTCATAGCTTTTTCCACCTTATTAGTCTAGATGCTTTATTGGAAGCTTTAACTTCATGCTTTCTCAGCTTAGCAGCTGTTTCCCCTTCAAAATAGGTCCTCTTCAATACCTGATTTTTATTCCCAGATGCTATGTCCTCCAAGCCCTCTTTACTTCTTGCCTATGGCTCTGTAACCCTCCTGGTGAATATTTTCTATTCCACCCTCTTCCTCTTCTGACATTACCTACTGTCATGAACTCCTAAAGCATCTTTCAAACACTGTCAATCCTCCAAAAATTAAAGAAAAAGAATAAACCTTCTGATTAGCTCCAGCATACATGCATTTTGTTCAGCCCAGGCTGGGTAATCAGTGGTATTTGAAATACTTTGATTGATATGTAACCAGCTTCGCTCCCGTCTCCCACATGGTTGTTCAAAATACAAAATTGACCTCTTCACCCACTTGACTAAATTACCTCCTAGCTCATAGGTACAAGTGTCCCTACTTATCTCTATGGCTCACCCTTCCATTTATTTTGTGCAAATCAGTGTCTTCCAATTCCCCCAGGCCCTATGCCATCCTTTAACTCTCCTTTTCCTTATGTCTTTAATCTTTCTTTGGGCTCTTTTCATGCTAAGCACCAGCTCTTGTCTTCCCTTTCTAAAATAACTTTCCTAATCTGTGCGCTTCTCTGGCTATCACTGCATTTTCATCCTCTCTTCATACCCACAAGGCTTCTGCATTTGCCACCTTTAGCATCCAACTCCTACTTTTTATCAAACCACGGTGATTTCCCTTCTTTTCCTTATTCTCCACTTAAAGTGCTCCTGTAAGGCCCCCTGTGATTTCCTCTTTCCCACACTCAGGGGCTTCTTCTCATGCTATCCATTCTGCTGACCACCTTCTCTGTGATGTGGCTACTCAATTCCACAGCCTCTCCTGCTTCTCTCTTCATCCCTCCTTCTGGGTTTCCTTCTCAGGCTCCTTGCCTTTGTTTCCTTTGTAAATCTTGGTGTTGACAAGGATATTGGCCTTGCCCAAGCACTCTGATATTGACCCTTTCTTATCTTTATCTCTGCTGTTTCACCGGGGAATGTCACCCACACCTTGGCTCCTATTATATCCTATATTTGGATGACTCGCCACTCTAGCTCTAAGAGAAACACTCTTAGCCTGGCCAGTGTGGCTCGGTTGGTTGAGTGTCTTCCCATGCACTGAAGAGTTATTAGTCTGATTCCAAGTCAGGATACATATTCAGATTGTTAGCCTGATCCCCAGTAGGTTGTGTGCAGGAGGCAGTCAATTGGTATTCTGCTCTCACATTGATGTTTTTCTCTCCCTCTCCCTGCCTCTCTCTCTAAAAAATCAATTTAAACCTATTTTAAAAGAGAGAGAAACACTCCTGTTGGAACCTCTAGAAGCGAATTCCCAAGTGTCAATTGGATATTTGAAGTATATCCAATTCAACGTGTCCAACTGGAACTCATCTTTCTCCTCCCCAGACAAAGCCTATATATCTTCTCATGCGTCTTTTCTTTGCCAATGGCGGTTCACAAAATTAAAAATCTTAAGGTTATTTTTAATTGCTTGCATTTTCTCATATTCTACTTCCAACCAGTTGTAAAAAAAAAAAATTAGGTTGTACTTCTAAATCATCTCATAACTGTCTTATCCACTCCAACTCATGGTCACTATCTGGAGCCCCATTATCAGTTATCTGCCAATTGCATGCTGTTGTAAGTGTATCTTTATTTTTGGTTATTTGGTCCTTCAATCTATTGGCTACACTACCTCAAAATTTATTTTTAGTTTTTAAATTTTATTTTTCTACAGTTCAGCCCCTATCATCTGACTTCTCTCCTTTTACCTTTAAATCTTACAAACTAAAATATTCTTATCTTGTGATATATGTGTTTATTCACATTTGCTTTCAATCTGCCTCTGCACTGTTTATCTGATTCTACATCACTTTCTTAAAAACTAGGTCAAGTCCTTCAACATGCCTGTGGCTTCATACCTTGTGTGTTCACACCTGTAATATTGTCCTTCCCTCCTCCTGTTGACTCTTACTCATCCTTCAAGCCCAGATTTCTCACCAAACTAATGTGCAAGAAAATGAGCTATGAACTATGGGGCATATAAAGATATGTACAGAAATAATTATAACATCCAGTAGATAGGTTTCATAAGAGAGAAGTAATTACAGTATGAAGATTAAAGGAGGGAAGTTTTATTTGGAAGATTTCAGAGGAGCGGGAAGATTTTCTTTAGGCCTTGAAAGACATGGATGGAAATGGTGGCTGTGGTGTTCTGGTGTGTGCAGTGAGGGTGTGTTGGAGGTGTGTATGAGTCAGTACTCTTTGGAAAACGTGGTGTTCTGCGAACCTGCTGTAGGCGTTGGGGCTGAGTTGGGGATAATAAGCCATGTGGTCTCTAGCATCCTCCCCTGCCAACCCTTTCTCTAACTCAAGCAGCTCCATTCAGGTCTGCTTTATGCATTAGACATTTGGTCTCAACCAGGGGTGATTTTGCCTTTTTGGAGGGACACTTGACAATATTAGGGGACATTTTTGGTTGTAACAACTGGGGTGTTCTCCTGGCATCTAGTGTGTATTTAAACACCCTTCAATGTACAAGACTCTCAGCTGAGAATGCTTTGACCCAAAATGTCACTAGTGCTGAGGTGGGGAGACCCCAAGTTAGACAAACACACGGGATTTTGCTTCAAGAAAATATTCTACAGTTAAATCAGACATTACAGGTGGAAGCCAAAGCACAGAAGCAGCAGCATGCTGGTCTTGCTCAGGAAAAACCAGAAGTCCTGTGAGGCTGAACCCTGTAGGGAAAGAGTGGAGATAAGGCTCCAGAGAGAGAGATGGCAAACTCAGAAAACAAAGGTGGGAACTCTGAACTGGCAGCATTCCCATTGTATTTCATACAACACCCTGGGGCTGTGCACCTCGGGATCCTGCCTGGAGGGTACTGAGTGCAGCTGATAAATTGGTACTGTGCTTTCTGGAGAAGAGATTGTATGCAATTACAAATTGTTGCTCAAGATTAGATCATATTCAATGAAAATTGCCCACCAAGCACACTGAAGAAAAGTGAGGGGCTGGTTTTTAAAGCTATTGTCATGATCAGAAAATACCTACTGTGGCAGACTTCAGGTCTATTTTAAATTTTTACATTGATCATCTCAGTGTTTCTCCTCTCTTGTAAAGTAGGTACCATTACCATTATTAAATGGACAAAAGCCTGGGAGACCACAAGCAGGACAAGGGCATGTGGCTGAACTGGAATCAGTTTCCTGAGACCAGTCACTGTCCTACTGAAAAGCACAGGGTGTGGGCTAATTATTCCAGGATTGAAGACTTGGCACAAGTTCTTTCTTTTTCTTTTTTAAAAATCCAGTTTGGTGGGCATTCCTTCAAGAAGAGGAGTCACTATTTAAAATTGGATTTGTTGCCCTGACCTGTTTGGCTCAGTGGATAGAGCGCCCTGCTGTCACAAGTCTGCCAGTCAGCCAAGAAGGGGCTGACACCCTCTAGTAAAGATCCAATTGCTTTATGAGTAATCTGCATGAGATGAGCCAGGAAATAGGGTAGGCAAGGCCAAGAAGAAGTTTATGAACTCATTTGGGAACCATTCTAGCTTGTGGGCAAAGGGAATTAGACTTCACTATTTTTTACCATCATGCCACCTAAGAAGAGCTATGGTAACACTATCAACTCTGCTGCCTTTCAATTCCCCAACTTGTCAATACATTCCTACACAGTCAAAGCTAGTGTTGGATATAGAAAAAATGGGAATAATAACTATTTTTACCTCTGCTATTATTACTACTAGTAGCAGCATTAATACTACAGTAGTCCCTCCTTATCTGTAGTTTGTTTTCTGTTATTTCAGTTTCCTGCAGTCAACTATGGCCTGAAAATATTAAGAAATATTTTGGAAAAATCCAGAAGTAAACAATTCATAAATTTTTATTGCACGTCATTCTCAGTAGCATGATGAAATTTTATGCGTGCTGTATGTAATAATACAACTAAATATTTAGAAAGAGACCTTATTTATATAATTTTTATTATGATGTATTATAATTGTTCTATTATTAGTTATTATTGTAAATCTCTTACTGTGCCTAATTTATAAATCAAACTTTATTGTAAATATGTATGTCAAGGAAAAACAGTACATCTAGGGTTTGGTACTATCCAGTTTCAGGCACCCATTGGGGGGGGCCTTAGGACGTATACCCTTGGAGAAAGGGGGGCTACTGTATTACTTCTGCTATCATTATTATGAATATCATACTTAGTGTCTGTTGATTTGAAAAACTACAGAAATCCCTCTCTATTCAACAGACCCTCTCCCCTTAAAGCTAGAAACCCTACCTTTTCTGATTACTTCTTTCTGTTTTATCCCTTGCCAGAGTGTTTTGAAAATAACATTGTGTGTTTCCGAGACGAGGTAACACATTCTGTTCCAAATGTTCAGAATGAAATTAGTCAGCCAGATTGTTTCTTACTGGCCTGGAAAAATGGCTTCTGAATCACCTGTAGAACTTGGAGCAAAATTGCTGCAGAGAGGGGTGGGGGAGGAAGGGCAGGGTACCCAGAGCAGAGGCTAAACTCATCAGAGAACTGATTTCTGCAGCTCCCCAGGCGGCCTGCCCTGTGACAGGAAACCTATTGTTCTGAGGCCGGCTGAGCCCGCACTGGGCCTGGGGACTGTCTGAAGAAGTGGTGGCTACGGAGAGGTCTCTGAGCATCTGCACCGCAGACTTCCTGGCTGGTCTGCCAGCGGGCGAAGCTTTTCACCTCTCATCCTGGAAAGCTCATGCGCTTTCTCCCAGCTGGCGGTTCCTTCAGGATGCCCACACCTCCTCTTCCTTAACAATCAAGGAAGTGACTATGCATACCAGTGTCAACATTTCAGCACTTACCAGATGCCTTTCCCATTCTTCTGGGGGCTTTAAAGTCAAATATAAACACCAGCTGAGATGGATTTTACATAAGAGGTGTGCTCAGGAAGAGGTACGTGCCAATCGATCGTTATTTTATATCTCATAATTTAATATAGTCGGGTAGGGATAGCAAAGGCTTTGTAAAATAAAGTCTCCACCATCACAAATGTATTTCACGAGGGAAGCCACAATTTACTGGAATGATTTTTTAGGGTGAGTATGGACTCTTAATACTGTCATTTGCAAAGGGGAGGGTTGGGTATTGTTATAGGAGGGCTTTAGGCAGAAAGCAATCTCTGCCTCTGTGCAAACTGCCGGGTCAGCGCACCCCAGCGCTGGCCCCCCAGGCCTGGGGAGAGAGTTTGGCCCAGATAAACACCTGTCTTGTGACAGGAGGCTAGAAGTGAGTCCCAATCCTTTGCCTTTTCCTATTGTGACAACTGTGATTAAGTCATTTAATTTGTACCCCAATTTCTTTTTGAAAACTGGATGGAAAAAAACCCTCCAGCTTTCAACTTGATGATGGGCCTTGATGATCCAAGCATGACACATATATGCATACATTTTTGGAATTTTGTTCTAGAATGGCTAAGCGGGAGCTGGCATCAAACTAGTATTTTTCACAGTCTGAAGTCTAGAAAGAAAAAACCATTGGGCATTTACCACCCACGGCATGCCCATATTTCCTTGGCCATGAAAGGGCATCCGACATTCTTACCTGGAATGGTTATCTCCCCTTCCTGCTTCCATTCCACGCTACTCCAGTTCACATTGATCTCACTGCAGCAGTTCAGAGACACCGGGCTGTTGTCACACGTCACCTCCATGTCACCATTGTCAAAGATTCGGATGGGGGTCACATTAATCTTTTTTCTGGACTCATATTCAAAAATATCTATGGTCAGTTTGCAAATATATTCACCTGCATGGAACACGGAAGCATTCATTACTATGAGTTGATTACTATTGATAGAATGACAGCCTTGTGGCATGTGTCATGACACTGCTTTGAGAAACATTATTTTCAAACGCATCTGAGACTTGGTCTAACATCCCTGAAGAAACGTTCAGGAAATGTGAAGGCCAATGAAGGTACTTCTGATGCCACAAGGCCATCTCACACTTGTTACTTACTAGTAAGTAAAAAGTGTGGGGGTGACAGAGGTGGGAAGGAAAAAGCTGGAAAGCCTTGGAAAAGACTGGATAATTCTGGCATTCTACTGAACTCTTGGCAAAATCAGAATCCACAAAGATGTGATAGGACCTAGGTGAATGCAACCCAACTTTATTTACAGAAAATGATCCCCTGTTAGCCTCTGGACTCTCCTGGACTTATTCAATTATAGAATGTCAGGTTTAAGACTTGTACTCTGAGCCCTACAGTTTGACTCAGTGGAAAGAGTGTCAGCCTGCTGACTGAGGGGTCCCAGGTTCAATTCCAGTCAAGGGCATGTACCTTGGTTGCAGGCACATCCCCAGTAGAGGGTGTGGTGTGAAAGAGGCAGCTGATGGATGTTTCTGACTTTCTCTCCCTCTCCCTTCCTCTCTGTAAAAAAAATCAATAAAATAAAATAAAAAAGACTTGTGCTCTGAGGTTGCTGGGGAAAGGGGCAAGGAGGGGCAGATAGAAAGGATTGCAATGGAAGACAAGGAAATTTTGAGGGGAGGTGATGGAAATGTGTACTCTCCTTATTAGGATGATAGTTTCAGTGGTACACATAAATCAAAACTTATTAAATTGTTCACTTTAAATATGCACAGTTATTACATGTCGATTCTACCTCAACAGAGCTGTTTTAAATTTTAAAAAATTAAGAGCATAAGTCTGTTTTTTGTGTTAGGTTCCAAACTCCTAAGCTTCAGTAAACGTGGAAAACTGTATTTGTCTCCTGAGACTAATTTGCTTGGCTTAAAATGCCATGGGCTTGATTTTCAATTTGGAAAAGTGGAGCCTGGTGACTCCTTTTTGGAGATGAGATGCTCTCTACACGTCTGTTCTCTCTGAGCCCTTCATTCCTTCCCTCCCACCAGTGGGTTACTGGGCAGACACCTACCCGCGTCCCCCAGAGTGATGTTGAACACGGTGAGGCGTGACACGGAGGTCAGGTTGTTGAGCACAGTGGTGTACACCCAGAACCGGCTGCCATTTTGGATGTCAGAGTGCTTCCCCACGTGGTGCCAGGACACATTGGAGGACGGAATGTCGGTTTCACATACCAGAGTTACCGTATCCCCTTCAAAGATGATTTCTGGTGTGACAGAGAATCTGGTTTCATCTGGAAATGCAAAAAAAAAAAAAAAAAAAAAAAAAAGAATGAGTAGGGTTCCAAAGCAAATAAAGGCAACTACTACTACTCACCAGACGCCACTCCACAGGGTCTCGGGAGGTCGCCACAGCATCTCATCTGTGGTGCTCTCTAGACTGAGGCAACACGTCCTCCTCCCTCCATCCCTGGGCAGCTGTTACCTGAGGCCCAACGAGTGAGAGCCCGCCAGTTTTGTATACTAGGGACATGACCTCCAGTGTGGGGTCTGTGTACACTTAAGAGTGCCCCGTGGTAGTAATGGGGATCCCAAGTATATTTAATATTTCAAATAGTCTAGCAGAAAATTGGGAGGTGGCTTAGGGGAATAGTTGCTATTGTTATTGTTTTCACAGTAAAACTCTGGAGAACCAGTGCATGAAGTAATCCCCCAGATAGAAACATACAATTTGTTATTTTTGTGTGTCCTTCTAAGGTGGTGATTTTACACAGCAGTTCTCCCTTTAAGCTGTGTCTTGTGCATGTCCTTCCTGCGGTCCATGTGGGAGGGATGGGAGGAGCTAGGTAAGGAGGCATTCTGAGCCTCTTGTGTGTGGGCTTCCTGCTCAGACCAAACTTCTGCACACTGTAAACATGGAACTCAAACACCATACAATTCATTTCGGGTGGTCTGAGGTTCTGATCAAAATGTCAAGATATCTAAATGTTTCTTACCTTTTTTTTTTTTTAGGTTCCTATTTAGGTTTAAGATTTTTAAAAAGCACATTCAACCATTAGGAATCAGCGCCATTTATAAATAATTAACACAGTGGACTAGCTTTGAAGTCACACACTCTTGTGTTACTTGCTATATGTACTGAAGCAAATTATTTGCCCTCTCTAAGCCTCCATTTCCTCACCTGTAAAATGAAGATAGTAATATTTGCCTCAGGGAATATGTGAAGATGAAATATGTGGAACACACCAGGCTTTTCATAAAAAATATACAATAATAGTGCCCTCTTTTCATTACTATTGTTGCTAATAACTATAACTAGTAAAACTGCCAGGATCATATGGTTGTATAGAACTGATCATAAATTTATTGGAAGTAATTAAATAAAGAGATATCTAGTTAAGGGACCCCGCTGATTAATTGAGGATCACCAGAGGGTTTATATGTGACAAAACCAATGGCACTGTTCTAAAGATTGCCAAGAACTTTTTGTGGTTCATAAAGACAGATTTATAAACAGGTTCCTGATACCAACTCATTCACTCAGCATTTTTCTTTCCTGTTCTTTTCCTCTCCCCTATCCCTCAAATATAATTTTCTAAAAGCACACAATCACTTGAATTTTTTGATATTTGTAGTCTGGGTAGACACCACCAATACTACGGAGAGCAGGGCAGTGTCTGTGCGCCCCATGAAATGGCACAAAACATAAGTTCATGTTTCGTGGTCTAAGGCTGAGTACATCACAGACTCCCATTCTGGTCTTTGAAGGAGGACAGGGATGGATGTAGATCCTCTGCAGACAGGGGAGTTGAGTACTATTCCCAATGACTTCATTGTTCTTTGGAAGAATAAGCCATGTACTAAACCACCATTATTTCTGGACTGACAGCCATTGATCAGTAAGGCTGCTGCATCTTATTCACTTAAATGTCTGATTATTCTCAGCGCAACAGAAATTTTGGGGAAAAATAATAATTGAAGAAAGCCTATGCAAGAAACTACTCTCTTATGCCCTTAGGACAATAAATAAAAATAAATGTTAAGGGTGATGTTAGGGGTGAAGATGTGGCATTGTTAAAATGGCTTCTGTGTGAGTCCACATTTTTAGGCTACTTATCCCCTCCCCTTTTTTTTAGCTTTCCAGGTTTCATCAGTTCGTTCTGAAAATGTCCCTTATTTCTCCTGAAATTTTGTTTTGTTATTTTATCTTGCTTATGTTGCAGCACTTTCTTACCATTGTGTATCTCTCTTTCAATATTTTATTTTTTTTAAAAAAAAAAAGATCTGCTGTTAAAAATACCAGCAGAGAATGTAAAGAGAAAGACCACAAACCTGCTATGAGAAAGCCTAGCTGCTGAGAAGGTCACCTTCCCTAACAATTGTGCCCTTGGCCCTGTCTGCACTGTCCTGCCCCAAGGTGGACCATGCTGTGCCAAAGAAGAACTACCTTTACTTAGGAACCATGGGCCTGTGTTATCCAGGATGTCTATGAGCCAAACTCCAGCCTGCCAAATCTCTGTCTAGCCAGCTCCCCTTGGCACCCTTAGACAACAACATAGGTCTACCCACCTCCTAACACAACAGAGCCCAGCACTGTACTCCATTTGTAAGATGTAGGAGAACATCTAAAATCCCAGGACTCTCACCACTGCTGGACGTGATCCAAAGCAGGGGTTTTCAGACTTTTCTGGGCATCAAATCACCTGGAGGGCTTGTTGAAACAGATTGGCCCTGCTTGGTCTGGGGTGGCCCTAAGAATTTGCATTTCCAAGTTCTTCTGCAGTGCTGATGCTGTTGGTCTCGCACCACACTTTGCAACTACTGCTCTAAAAATAACAGGGCCCCCTATTTAATACCAGGGCACTTCATGAATATCCCAACCTGCACCACAATGTTGGTTGTATTTTTTTGTATATCTTGGACCTGTTACAGTAATTTTTAAAATCCATAAACCCAGATGGCTCTGTGGCCCCCTTACAAAATCCCTCTCCTGGCAACTTCTCCAACTACAGTGAATTAGCCTTTTTGAGAAGGCTCTGCACCAGCCTCAGGCAGGGCGGTGGCGCATAGACCTCCATGCTGGGGGACTGGAGACTCTCTCTATAGGGGACAGCGCAATGTAATTTCATAGATTTCAGCATAACAATAAACACCCTTGTCATATCTAAATGGAATCATTGCACAGGAAAAAAGAAATGTAGCAATGTCTACTTACTACTAATCACTGCTTGGAAAGAATTGTAGTCCATTTTGTAGGTCTGGTTGAGGTTCTGTGTGACCAGCTCATTCGCTCTATGCATTACTGCAGGGGATGGCGTTGTAGTTCTGATTTCATACGCCACAACCACACTTCCGGGCCTGGATGGAGACCATGCAGTTTAGAAAAGCAATAACTGACCTGGAAGAATCTAGATCCTTATGGTTTATTTGTATGAGAAAACAAAATGGTAGGAAGGGTTCACTAAACTCAATGTGTTTTCAAGCTCTAGTTGAAAGCCTGAGGCGGGGCGTGGACACTCCACTGTATGCCGACAGGTAACATAAATAACAAAATAGCCAGGCAGGGGTGAGTGAACGAATCACATAAGCTGGCCATAGGCTGGCAGCCATAATGCAGAGAATTGTCCTACAGCCATGCTGGCCCAGGGTTACCAGAGAAGCTTAATGTCAAGTGAAGCCCAAATCCTCACTGTCTCTGTACAAATTCTTAACATTGGCAACTAACTGTTCAAAAAACTGTGCAAAACCTTCTCAGGTTGGCCAGGGTGCCCAACTCTAGGGGGCACCACCCACATTGCAGCATCCTGCGCCTGTCATCCTGGCTGGCCACCTTTTCTTGAATAAATGCATCATTGTGTGACATTATTTCACTTTTATATTTCTGAACTCCCTAAACTATAAACTTACCCATATCTTTGTAAAATTCTTATGTGCATAGAATGAACATGAGTCTTTTTTTCAACTTCCTTCTAAGTAGGTGCCTCTGTAAGGAGTGAGCTACAATTCTCAATATTTCGGCCACTTTCTGCCCCTGTTGAGTGTCCCAGAAGGCCCTCCTCTAACGGGCTTTTCCTCCTTCACTGATGTGTTGACCTGTGCCATTAGATAGAAACGACCCAATTACAGCATTCTTACCTGAACCCTGTCACAGTCACCAATTTGAAGCCAGGTAAAACACTGTAACCTTTCCAGAACTGAAAAATAAAGCAGACAGTGTCATGTAGCAAGGTTCATTGAAAGAGATCTCAAAGATTAGAAACAGGGTAAAAAGCCCATCTTCCTTTTCACCCTGAGTGAAATCTCCTCCTGTATATTTTGTTAGCTCTGGCATCAGCTGATCTCTGGAGAAGTCATTCCTATTATCTACTTCTGAATGTCTATGTTCTCTAAGAAGCAAACACCAGGTTAAATGTAGAAACATTTACTACTACTCAGGAAAGCAACTAGGAAAGAATATGGGGAGCCTTGCCAGTGTGGCTCATTGGTTGAGCGTTGGCTCATGAGCCAGGAGGTCATGGTTGGATTTCTGATCAGGGCGAATGCCCAGATTGTGGGCTCAATCCCTAGTAGAGGGTGTGCAGGAGGCAGCAGATCAATTATTTTCTCTCATTATTGATGTTTCTATCTCTTTCCTTGTCCCATCTTCTCTCTAAAATCCACAAAAATGTATGTATTCAAGGAAAAAAAAATATGGGAGAGGCAGCAGGAAGGCAGAGTGAGACATTTGACCACAAGTAGAAGAGAGTGGGAATGAAGGTTGGGTGAAACCATCCTAGACTGAGCCTGGGAAGGTTCGGGAAGGCCTTCAAATGAGTCTGAATCTGGAAATTGCAGACCAGCCGAGCTCATTCATTAGCAGTGAGCAGTAAGCACTGTCATGACCATCAGAGGCAGCAGCTGAGGGGCATGGTCAATTACATTCCCTATAGTTGGAGATCTAGGAGGTACACTTAAGGCCACTGCACTGCCTCATGCTTCACTTAACATATTGCAGCACTGGTTGAGCCAATGTGGTTTATGATGATGTTTTTACTCCAGTTCCTTCCTCTGAATACCAATCCTATAGGAAATTCAATTTAATTCAAGTCATATGAACAGGACAGATGTAATGTGCAAAGCACTCTGTACCAGGTACCTGCATGGGTGGGATCCAGATTTTAGTATGTGACTCTCTTTCCTCAAATATATGTGATTTTGCATGTGGTTGTGTGTTTAAGAAGGACTCTCACGCTGTATAGAAATATTACATGCCATATATATAAATCAGATGTCCAGGAGCTCTACAGCATCAGGACTCTAACATGGCACCATGGAAAATGATAATATTTGTGTGGCACACTCAAGTTTGCTCCTAGCCTGCTCCTGGCTTGAGGTAGGAGCTCATCTGCCCAGAGAGTTAGGGAGGTCATAATCTCAGGATACCTGTAATAATTTGTGCCACACCAGTGGGGATGGTTTATTCCAAATAAGATAATTTGGAAAAGTAAAGCATTTAAGTTTAGATGAAGTCATCCAGTATAATGCACTGACAATAGTGTCTGACACACAGTTAACACTCAGGGAATAGTATCTATTTTCACAGGAGTAAACTTAAATCTGGCTTAAGAGTGAATGCCTATGAACTATTAGCATAGAGTGATTTGGAACAGAGGGTTCCAAATATCTGAATCAACTCTATCCTGGAAAGAAGTCCCATCTAAAGGTCAAGATGATGTCCAATCATCCCCTGAACACTGATTCAAGCTCTTATGAATTCATCATCCCAGAAGTACAGCAATAATTTTAACATCCACATTCATAAATTCTGAAAGATCCAAGCAAACTAACCACAGTCAATATAATAGATTTAGTGCAGCCCAAAGTTTGTTTGGTCCAGAGGCCTGTGAGGCCAAAACCTACCGCTGTTTCCAAGTCAGTCTTATAGGACCTATAGAGGGCAGAGGAAGTGTTCCTGAGATCTTCTTGAAAGCCCACATTAAGTCTGACTGACATTCTCAGGGTTATGTCTGAAAAAAAAGGGGGAAATATTTAAAAATCTCATGTTAGCCTTTAAGATCACACAGGACACAGAAACATTTGCTTGATCTGATGCCAAATAGCCACTCAGCAAAACAAACATCTGATGAGCAGTTACTTACCTCTCCGGAGCTGACAAAAAGGTCCATTGGGAGGCAGTCCTTTAAGGCAATTGCAACGATGCCCAGCAGGGGCATTGTCATGCTCTTGACACGTGAGATTGTGAAGGCACTGTTCCTGCGGCCACCTATAGCCTGTCTCACAGGAGCACCAGATTTCATTTCCAGTAGGTCTGCAGACTATCGTCAACCAAAACAGTGAGGAGAGAGAAAGTGATCACCGCTTTTGCATTTATAGACTGCAAATATAGACTAACTCCACTCCGTATTGGCCTTCTGATAAGTTCAAGAGTACTGCATGAGATTCCCATGACTCCTGTATGTAACACCATGCTATTAGACATGGGCATCTAAAAGATGACTATCCAACTAGCCCAGGGCATGCCTACAATGATAATATGAGAGATTTCTGACATACAGTAGCCAGCCTCCAAGATGGGCCCTTACTATCCCTACCTCTGGGTATTCACATTCTTATGTAGTTCTCTCTCAGATTGTACGCAGATTGGTCTGTATGACCAATAACTAGATTATAACAGAAGTATTACTTCTGATATTAAGTTATAAAGACACTCTGGCTTTCACTTTGGAGGCTCTCTCTCATTCTCTCTTGCATCACTTGCTCTGGGGGAAGCCAGCTGTCATCACATGAGAACATGTCATGACATTTCACAAAACTACAGAGTAAGGAACCAAGGTCTCCAGCCAATAGCTAGTGAGGAAGTGAGGCCTGCTGGGAATCACGTGAGTGAGCTTGAAAGAGAATTTTCCACCCCCAGTTGAGCCTTCAGATGACTGCTCTTCTGGTGGACAGCTTGACAACCTCATGAGAGATCCTGAGTCAGAGCCTGCTAAGCTTTTCCCAAATTTCTGGCCTTCAGAAACTGTGACATGTTTGTTGTTGTTGTTGTTTGTTTGTTTTTAAATATATTTTTATTGATTTTTTTTTTTTTTTTTACAGAGAGGAAGGGAGATAGAGAGCTATAAACATCGATGAGAGAGAAACATCGACCAGCTGCCTCCTGCACACCCCCTACCGGGGATGTGTCCGCAACCAATGCCTGGAATTGAACCTGGGACCTTTCAGTCCGCAGATCGACGCTCTACCACTGATCCAAACTGGCTTTGGCAAGTTTGTTGTTTGAATGCTAAGTTTTGGAGTAATTTGTTACACAGCAATAGATAACAAATGAAGAGTATAAGCAAAATTTCATGTCAAATGTGAGCAGCCCAAACAGACTCTAATACTGAACATGCTCTGAAAACAAGAGTACTGAATTTATTTCTAAAACTGGACCAAAGTCAAATCACTAGGAGCTTTTTTTTTCTGCAGATGGGCACCTGGGCGCTCAACAGAGTGACTTTCCAAAAGAAAGCCATGAAATAATTGCTCCTGAAATAGGAGAAACAACTGAGTCCCAGTGAGTCCTTGGATGCTGATGTAGTCCCGTGCTCTGGAAGTTGGTGAGAGCTGGGCAGAAGCTTAGGGAGCAGAGGGTGTCCAGGCTGCTGGTGAGGGTGGGGATCATTAGTGGGGGAATTTGAAGGGAGCCAAAAAGACCCCCTTTGTCAAAATCTCTCTTTTACTGACCTGAAATCCCACTGCTAAAGCATTTTTTGTTTTGTTTTTGTTTCTTTTGAGAAGAATAGGGGGGTAGTATTTGAAGAACTTTTGACTCTCATGTAAAATACAAACTTGCTTTAAGAGGATGACAAAAGCAATCATCACCAGACCAGTTACCACATTCCAGGTATTATTTGGTACTTTACATACACTGTCTGGCCCTTAGTTTTGTTTGCTAGAAAGTCCAACCCCATAGTCTGGGAGGTCCTGCTTAATGCCTTAGTTCTGACCTGGGCATGTACCTGGTTCCTATTTTCTGACCTATGATGCCAAAAAGAAGGAAACTTCTGCTTATCAGTCTCCTGAACTTACACTTTCCATATCCACTGATTGCCCAGGGTAAGAGAATCCAGTAATTTCATGGCCATATCTTGGGACCACTTTGTGACAACCAACCAACAAACCACCAAGTAAACATGTGGTCACCATTTAAAATAAGCAAACTGGATGCAGAGTTTACCAACAGAGATTTCATCTGGAAGGCAATGAAGCAACAAAACCACAGGTCAAGCCCGTTGGGTCATTGTACTTGCCTACTCAGTATAATTTGTTCTAACGGGAAGGAGCTCAGAGAGCCTTACTCTTGATATGCCCAATCCTCCCTTCTGAAGCAATGGGTCTTTTACTTACCTGTTGTCACCTCTATGCTCAGAATGTTGGCAGTGAGGTCAGTGTCATTGCCTTGAATTGGAAAACTGAGGCTGTTCAGGTAAGCTTTGACAGGTTCCAGGAAGGAGGCATTTTCAAAACTGATCTCAATATCAACAGTGTATTCTTGAGCTGTAGGATGACTCGTGGCAACTGAAATGAAACATAAGGAGGCTGTGAGAATTTACTGTGGGTGGGTGGAGAGAGAACACCATAGAAATTTTAGCACTTAAAGGTGATGACTGGAACATGTGGATGCTGGGCCACATCAGCCTTCTTGGAATTTCTAGAAAAGCTCTGGCTGGTTTGGCTCAGTGGATAGAGTGTTGGCCCATGGACTGAAGAGTCCTAGGTTCAATTCCTGTCAAGGGCACACCATACAGGAGGTGGCCAATGTTTCTCTTTCTCTGTCTCTCCCTCTCCCTTCCACTCTCTCTAAAAAATCAATGGAAAATTATCCTTAGGTAAAAATTAACAACAACAACAAAAGAATTTCTAATAAACTTTTTAGAAGAAAAGAAGAATTTGTATACTGACCACCACCAAGCCCCCCTATTGTGCATCCTCTCTACAATTTTACTATTTAAACCAAGAAGGCAACTGATCTATTTGGTCCCAGAGCAGTGGTTTCTGGCCATTTAAGAGATTCACAGGCTAAGCTCAGGACTTGTCCTTCCTCTCCATTCCCACATCCTTCTTCATGTCCAAGGCCAAGGCCTTCCGTGTGGAGAATTGACTGTAATAGGACAAGAATAGAAGCAGAGAGACCTAGCATGCAGGCCTTGGCAACAGTCTAGACAATAAATACCAATACAAGTTCTGACTCACCAGGATGACTCAATATGTTTCAAACATCATTCAATTGACATGCATGTATTTTTAGAGATGGATTATGCAAACTTGAGACCTCTGGGGAAAGTCATCTACTTAATTACCTTTGCTCCTAGCCTGGCATGGCTCTTGGTTTTTATTCTGTATTTCAGATATGATAGGTGTTCCACAAAAGCAAAGTTGGCAAGTTGGAAAGTAAAATGAAAGTGATCTTTAGCTCTTCATTATTTTTCCAAATTGTCTTCAGGCTGACTGACTGGCTATCATTCTAGATGCATCTGGCCTTCAACACATACATGCCCACTACAGGCAGAGCAGACAGTGTATGTGTATTTTATATAATAAAAGCCTAGGTGGCATCATGCATGGCATTATCACAAGATGGCCACCACAGATGGCCGCCCCCACATTGTCACAAGATGGTCACCACAACATGGCTACCACAAAATGGTTGGCAGGGGAGGGCAGTTGGGAGCAAACAGGCCAGCAGGGGAGGGCAGTTGGGGGCAACCAGGTCTGCTGGGGAGAGAAGTGGGGGATGATTGGGCCATCAGGGACGAGCAGTTTGGGGTGATCTGGGCAGCAGGGGAGCAGTTAGGCATCAACCAGGCCAGCAGGGGAGTGGTTAGGGGGTAAGCAGTTAGGAGCCAGCAGTCCGGATTGTGAGAGGAATGTCCAACTGCTGGCTTAGGATCAGGCCTAAACCAGCAGTTGTACATCCCCAAAGGGTCCCAGATTGGAGAGGGTGCAGGCTTGGCTGAGGGACACCCCCTCCCCATGCACAAAGCCTGTAGTATATCTATAATAATAAAAGAATAATATGCTAATTAGACCAGATGTCCTTCCAGATAAAGCTGGGACTGGAGCAAAGCCACCTGGGTCCCAGGTGCCAGAGGGAAGCCAGTGCTGGCAGTTGGGGGAAGGAAGGCCTACTCTTGCATGAATTTTTATGTATCGGGCCTCTAGTATATACATAGGTGTCATATAGTTTCCTATATGACATCATGTTTGACACACTAGATGTAAGCTCCTCTAGGGCAGGAACTGTTTCATTTCTCATAGCCTTACTCACTCAATCTAGCCTGAAGTTACTACATAGTAAGTTTAACCTATGACTCTGAATTGAGTCACAGATCCACCTCTCTGTTATCACCGGAATCATTGGCTCATTTTTGGCTGAAATATATAACTGGAGCAGAAGCCATGGACTAGGTTAGAAGCTAATGAACAACCTTCAAAAATTAAGAAAAAAATTTATAGAAACATTGAGAAGACAAGTTGTAGCTTATTTTTATTTTGTCAGTTAAGTAAGAAAAAGATAAGTAAATACCTACAAACAATTACCTTAAATTTTAAGTAAAATATGGACCTATGATGCATATTTTACCATACAATGAAAAATTTTGTCTATTTTCTAAAAGAGCAATGAATGTCTCCCATAAAATTGCAAGATTTGCTCTCAATGTTCCAAGGATAATTTATGTGAAACACTAAAGTAGAGTAAGTTTACTATGGGAAATTCCAGTTGATAAATGTTTATGGTAGAAAATGTTTGTTTTCTTACAGTTGCAAACTATGTTTGTCTTAGCATGTTGGTTTAACTTGCCAAACTTGTTGAGAATTATTTCATTTTTTGGCATCATTCAACTTAATATAATTAACACAAGCTGTAAAAATCCAGATTTTCTTAAAATTAAGAATGTATTTTGTCCTTGCTCAGTGGTTAGAACATTGGCACACATAACAAAGGGTCTTTGGTTGGATTCCCAGTCAAGCGCACATACCTGGGTTGTGGGTTCACTCCTCAACCTTCCCAAGTTGGGGTGTGTGCCAGAGGCAACCAGTCAATGTGTCTTTCTTACATTGATGTTTCTCTCTCTCTTCCTCCTTCCCTTCCACTCACTCTCTCTGAAAAGCAATGGAATAAATATCCTCAGGTGAGGATTAAAACAACCACAAAAAAGAATGCACTTTAAAAAATATATATTTATATATAAAATTGATTTTTTACAGAGAGGAAGAGAGAGGGATAGAGAGTTAGAAACATCGATGAGAGAAAAACATCGACCAGCTGCCTTTTACACACTCCCCTACTGGGGATGTGCCTGCAACCAAGGTACATGCCCTTGACCAGAATAGAACCTGGGACCTTTTAGTCCGAACGCCAATACTCTATCCACTGAACCAACCCAGTTTAGGCAAAAGAATGCACTTTAAGGTGCATTTTTTTCCTTACATAGATATATTTCCTGTAGAACAGGTGACTTTTAAAACCCAATCTCAGTCTGTCATGATACTATGTTTCTCTCGAGGAGACTGTTGCCTAAAATTTCCTAGTTTTCTTTTTTTTTTTTTTTTTTTCTTTCTGATTTTCAAATGGTTTTGCGATGAAAACAAGCTTCGGGTTGTTGGTCTGGGGGACTGCTTATCTTAATTTATGTGCTCTGAACTCTAGACACAGTATGTTGTCCCTGGGAATATTTGCAAGCAGGGCAGGTGTGCCTTAGAGCACGTTCTTTTTCCTGAAATGTAATGCAGCACTATTCATACCCTCGAGAGGATTCTTAGCTACAGGATCCTCTTTGCTGTGTCAGGTGACTCTCCTCCCATGAATGTAAACAGGATTTCCTGGATGGGAGCTGCTTTTGAGATGAATGAGGGCTATAACAATCCATATCCCCCACTTCCTCATCTACAGTGTTGCATCCCAGGGTCTGATCATAGCATAATATTAATGTCTGCCTGAGGGCCCTATCTACCTCCCACTGTGAGCCCACCACTCAGTGCTTTTTGCAGACTTAGTTGCAGAACAAGCGTTGGTCTGGAAAGCACGTGGTGATTCATGGGTGTCTTCACTCCCCACTGAAACCAAGCAGTGAGTTCTTCTGCTGAAGAGAAGGATCGGGCCTAAACCAATAGTCGGACATCCCCCAAAGGAACATCTCCCAAAGTTTTGGGAGTTGAGCCCAATACTTAAAATACTAAGAGGAAAGTTCCCATGCCTCTAGCAAGTCCAAGTCTATGGGATCTGTGCAACTACTAATCAGAGCACCAGCCTCTAAGGCCCTCTATCCCTTATCTACCTTTTATGTTCAGTAACTTCTAAAGGAGTTTCAGAGTAACCCTTGGCCTGCAGATCACTTCTCCCTGATCAAAGACTGGTAAATATAGGGATCTCTAAAAGAGAAGGAAACATCTTCTCCTTAAAAATGGTCAGTTCTTCCAAATAGGCTAAAAACACACACACACACACACAAAACATACACAAAAAAAACCCCACAAAAACACCCTATTCCAGTGTCACCTTCACTTGACTGATAATTACACCCACCTAAGGAATTCTACACACACAGATATTTTGGAGCTTCAGCCTATGTGAGCCAAAGTAGAATCTTGATAAGGAAGGCCCAGAAATGTGTATTTTTTCCCCCAATTCCCACAGGTGCTTCTGGTGACCAAGCACGTTTGGGATCTAACATTCGAATCCAAATGAGGAAACTGAGAAGGTGATCTTGGAGAACCAATATGAGCCCATAAGTTTGTTCTTAGCTTTAGCATGGATTTTTGTTTTCAACACAGTCTGCTGGTGCTCCTATGGGGGAACAATCGTGCAGTTTCCAAGCATATCTGCTTACTCTTATTTTTCCTCTTTTGCTTTGAGAGAACTGATACTTGCTTACCTCTTTCTTTGGGGATACTGAATAGATCCCAGGTGATTATGATGAAAGTAACAATAATAACAGCAGCTGCCATTTATCCATTAACCTGATAGGGCCATGAGAACAGTATGCAAAGCCCCATTTTGCAGATGGCAAACTGAAGCCATATGGAAAGCAAATCTTAGAACTGGAATTTGAAGCTACATTTTTCTGATTCCAAAGTCCATTTTATTTTAACTGTAACCTGCCATGACTCAAACAGGAGAAGATAATGAAAGTGACCACTTTGTAAATCCTAAATAACCATAAAATATAAGGTATTATTGTTAAATGTGTCTTTGGAACATGGTGTGCAATTCCTAAAGTACGTTTTGAAATAAAATTAAAGACAAATTATTAATGATAAATGGAAGAATTAGCTAAAACTCTGTTCCATTTGAGTCAGCATAATAAATGTCATAGAAATCCATGGTGAGGAAAAACACAATGACCCACTGCCATTGACATTTGTGGATTTTGACACTGACTCTTGCTCAGTTTGTTCCTTAGTTTATCTATTTATATAAAGACCTATTATGCTAAGTATTCAATCAATCGACCAGTCGCTATGACATGCACTGACCATCAGGGGGCAGACGCTCCTACTAGTAGGTTAGTTTGCTG